TATTGTCATATATTTATTGAATTGATATAAAAAGACAAAAATACCTCCAAGGTTTTGGAATTAATAAATTCTTATATTTTATAAATATTTTAATTATTTTATTTTTGTTATATCTTAACTAGAAAAGTGCAATGAGTCTTTTATTTCTATTTTGGGATTATTTTGTAGACCCCCCTCATTTCCAAATTATATAGAACTAACTATCAAGTGGATTACACTCTAGGTGAAACCCCCCTCATTTCGAAAATATTTTGACATACCCCCCTGGGCTACCCTGAAGTACCTATAATACCCTTCTAAAATCAGTTTTAACCCTAGCCACTCACGGTCTCTCTCTTCTTTTCCCAGATTCAAAATCCCGCCTCTACAAACCTCTCACCGACGAAATTGCTTCCCGGAGCCATATCTCTCTCTCCGGTGGTCGGAATTCGATGGTTTAACTACCGTTGGATTCCTCTCGTCGAGCTCTTTCTTTTGGTGGTGATTTCATTCAGTTTCGAGCGCGGATCTGTTTCTGCAATTTTTTTTCATTCGAAGACGGTGGTCTTGCCGGAGCTTTATTTTGTGTTCCACCCGTCGAAATTTGACGGGTCATCCACCGTTGGATTCCTCTCGTCGGGATCTATATTTTGATGGTTATTTCGTTTATTTTTATCTTTTCAGATTTATTTCTATATTTTTTTGCATTTCCCAGCAATAACCCTCTCTCTATCTCTCGATCTCTTAATAATGTTTGGTGATTTTTGAGTGTTTTGATGTTTTTATTCAAATTTGTTGATTTGCACTAAAGTAATTTCTTTTTGTTTTGATTTTGCAATTGCAGCTTAATGAAGGCCATTGATCCTTTCCTTGAAGGTGTCAAATTTTTGTTTTTTTAAGTTACATCAGATCTGTTCAACAGACTGTATACATTACTATACATTACTATAGTAACATGTAGTTACATGTAGTTATATATGCGTATATTTATGTATTTTCGTTTTGTATTTTATTGGTTCTGATGTGATTTATAATAAAAATATTTAAATTTGTAAATTTTTGTTGGGGTTTTATGAATTTATTTTGTACAAGTCAGTATTCGTGTGTGTATACAATTGATCGACTAAAAATATGGGAAAAAACAAACATAACTATGAATTACTATAGGTAGTTACATGTAGTTATTTTCAGTACTGTAAACATATTGTTTTGAAAATTAAAAAATAAAAAAAAATAAATATATCAGCGAAAATGATAATGCATGACATAAATGCTGAATGCAGTTTGGCCGAAAATTGCACATAAGGGTAGTATAGTACTTTCGCGTCCCCAGGGGGTATGTCAAAGGATGATTTGGGCTTGAGTTTATCCCTAGTTTATTTGGTGGCTAGGGGGTATGTAAAATAACCCCTTCTATTTTTTATCAATAATTGATATATATATTTCAAATTATCCCTATATCAAAAGAAAACTTAAATTCATTATTACATATTTCTTTAATTTGTATTTAAAAACCCTATACTTAATTTGATTACTATATTTTTAATAGTTTTTCAATTTAATTTGTACTAATTTTTTTAATAATATTTTAATTTCTAAAAAAAATCAAATTAAAAGGAAAAATATATACATATACTATATATACGTATAAATACATTCTGAGGAACAATTTCGTCATTTCACATTCAAAAATCGGCCACGTACCAACCGCTCATCCAGTGAGTGAGCCACACGAAAGTCAACCAGGGGGATTTCTGCCTTTGACTAAATTTTATAGAGTATTTTTGCTAGTTTATTTACCACATGGAGATTTTTACAATTTAGAAATTACACATGAGTACTTTTTGCAGTTTACTCATATTTTAACTATTGTTGACATATATAGCTATGTTTTTGGTATCTCTTTTTTTGTGGCACTGTGTTTCTTTTTCCTTTATTCCTTCTTGTATGTTTTATATGGTGTTGCTATTGATGTGTGTTGGACTGAAAGTCAAGTACAAGGAATCTAGTTGGGATGTAACATTCTAGTAATTAATTAAGCTATTCATCAACCTCGATCATATTCGAGAAACAGATTAAAATGGAAACCCTCGGAATCGGCTGGTTCAAGATCAATGTGGATGGAGCACATAGTAATGAAGGTAGCACCGGAGGGGGCATTTTACGCAATTATGCATGGGTTGAGATGAAAGCTTTTTCATGTTTCTAAAGAGATTTCCGAGTTCTGTATGCAGAAGCTATGACCACGAGAGAAGGTTTGCAGATGTGCCTTCAACTTGGCATTTATCATATTATTATCGAGTTGGATTCGAAGTTGTTACAACCGTATTGGGAAAATTAATCATGTATCCAAATAGCATAATCGAGTAGCTTACCAGTTGTTAAGCGTTTTATTTTCTTATATATATAGGTTAGGTTTTTCTAATTTTCATAAATAATTGGCATACCATATTCCTGTTAGACCAAACAAGGTTTCAATGAAGTCCTATATTGTATTCATACATGTTGATTCAATAAAATTTTACTTTTGGTATTAAAAAAAAAACTAAATTCAAGAACGATAAAGAATATGAAAATAGGCATTGAAAAAATAATTCATTGAATTTAAATGAATGTATAAAAGTATACACAGAATCCTAAATAATATGGAACAATAAACAAACACTCCAGAAAAATATTTTAAAGATATTTTTCATACGTATAAAGGTGGCGGCACAGCACTTTCCACTTCTTGTTCAATTCATTAAAACTTGAAATCTTGATCATCAGGCGGCGGCGGCAGGTTCAAGTCAAAATCCCGGATCATCTTTTGGGTGGCTGCGCCGCCGTTTGAGGAGGTTTTCCGGCTCTTTTTAGAACCGGCGCCGATGACGCCTTCATAGTGCTTGCGCTTATGGCCGCCGAGAGCCTGTCCCGATGTGAAGGTTTTGTGGCAGATTTCGCACTCGTGAAGCTTATTACCACTCCGATTCATGCCGGAGGTGCATCTGGTGGACGCGGCGGCGACGGCGGGGATGACGGCGTATGGGTTTCTTTCGATTGCGGCGGCGGGGATGACGGCGTATGGGTTTCTTTCGATTGCGGCGGCGGGGATGGCGGGGATGACGGCGTCAGGGTTTCTGTCGAGCGCCTGGTATGAATTGAAACCCTTACCGGAGTCGGCGCAACTCCTGTACGATTTGGGCACGGCCGGCGGCGGGCACGGCGTAGTAGGGACCCATTCTTGAGATATCTTGAAGTCGAGTGAAGCGGCGGCGGAGATGGCAGGCTTGTTACCACCGTGTTTGGCTTCTCCAGTGATCAGGTGATTGGCGGCGGGGGGAGATGGGTAAGGACCGCCGCCGCTTCTGGCGAGCATGACGAGACCTTGGGCGGCCAAAATCTCGTCGGCTCCGAGTTTTAACTGACACCATCGCTTCGATCGCCTCGATGATTTCTTCCACGACCCCACGACGGCGCTACAATTCAAAGACCGATCAAGAGCCATATTGGAATTGTTTATTGTAGAGAGAGAGAGATTTCAGAGAGAGAGAGAGTGAATGAGCTTTTAGAAAAAGGGGTCTTGTATTTATTAAGTGAATTTGTTTTAATTTTAGGGTTGTCTATATGGAAATATTATTATTTCGTGCGTGTATATGTGACAGAGAAAGTGTGTGTATGTGTGTGAGAGAGATGCTAATGACTCAGAATTGACTAGGGCAATTGTGTTTCTCTTCCGACTTTTTCTCAAGTCAAAAATAAAATATGTGGATGCTCCTTTTCTTTTGGACCAATAAGAAAGTCCCATTATTTACACCCGGTCAGTGTTAATTTGCGGTTATTTTATATTGGATGAATGTTTATATGTACAATTACCAAATATTCGAGTTAAATAAATTGGTTTAGTATATAATTCCCCATATACTTAGACCTCTTTTTATTTCCACTACTAATTTTGATGTCCAATTTTCATATATTTAATACAGCTTAAATATTTACATATCACAGACTTACTATTTAAATTTATTTATTACTTACGATTTTATGACAAGAATTTAGGAACTAATTAATATTTCCTTAATTTTGATACTCCATATAGACCTATTGCCGTAGATATCTCAAGTTCATCCCTAAAATTATAATGCCTAATTAAGGTAAATAATCTATATGAAGTTTACTCCTACAAGGAAACAACACTAGTAGAAAAATCTGGGTTTAAATACACTTTGCAAATTCATTAGTACCCTCGTCCAAATTCATATAATTACAATTCTATCCTGCAGACAAAAAAGTTAATAAAATCCACTAACCTTAGAAGCCAACCGATCACCACCACCATCATCCGCTTAACACTTCCCATCTCCAAAGAAACCGCCTCCACCGCCGGAGCGTTGTCGACAAACGGTCCCAGGCCATTTTGTAATCTCCACCACCGATGGGGGTGATTAAAGTTAACGTTGACGCAATTTTTTCCGCGAGGTAATGATCACTATTACACATCTATGGTTACTAATGATTCACAAGGTCAAAGTGTGTGGTAGAAGAATTTTCGGCATCTTGGCCGAGTGTTACCTGCCGAGGGGGAAGCTCGGGCCGTTTTACAAGCTTACTCTTATCGCGTTAAGCTTCGGATGGCCTGGCATTATTATTGAGGGTGATTGTCTCCCGGTGATCGATTGATGCGCTTAATGGCTCAGGTTCTTCACTTACTTCATTCGGCGCTATTACGGAGGCGGTTTTAGCTCGCTCTTTTCTCTTTCTCTTCTATTTCCTTTCCGTTTGTAAAGCGTGATGCCAATAAACTAGCTCACGATATTGTTTCACGTGAGACTTTAGATTCTTTGGAGGGTGTGACCCTCCACTGTTTCTGACAATGGGTCCCTAATATAATTATGTTTTCCCGTTAAAAAAAAAGTATAAACTATGTGTTACAAATTAAACCTAAAAGATATTACTAAATGAATTCAAACTCAAGTCATTATTTGACTTCTCATTCTCTTGCTCAATTTTGTATTTTTTAAATAAATGTAAATAAACCTTGAAAGAAAAATAAAATAATATAAAATATGGTAAATTTCACTTTTCCCCATTTACTTGGCTCGGTATTACTTTACCTTCTTCTACTCTCGATTGTATCGATTTTCCCAAGTGTATATAGTGATTCTTGGAGGATTCTATAAAATTTTCTAAAATCCTCCCTTTGTAGATATTTTGTAGAAATACTTTGGAGTGTTCTAGTGAACAACTCCTAGCTGGTAGATCAAATAGATCTCCACCGCCCATTAAGGAGGTGGCCTAGTATAAATAGAAGTAGGGACTTCATTTGTAATCATCCAACAAAAAATCTAAAAAATCCAAGACATTCAAGCAATACAAGTACTTTCCTACAAAGTTTCTAATCTTATTAAGTTCTTTGTTCATTTTCCATCACTTAGCATTCGCACCACATTCGGGAGATGCTGACTTAGCTATCGCTAGGGGCGAGAAGAAGCTAAGGCCTCACGGTTCGTCGTTCATGGAACAATTCCGTGACAAGTGGTATCAGAGCCCGGCTAGGGCTTATTGTTGATCCAATTCTCAAGCGATGACGAACGTCGAAGACATTTCGTACGTAACCAAGAGACGTCGCAGGGATGCCCAAGTAGCAAACAAGAAGAAGAGGGATCACAATAAGGCTCGTGGGGAGAATACTGCCAAGGATGCCGTCTTAACAGATCACGGGGAAAAGTTCGAGAATTGCTTTTTTTTCTCTTTCATTTAATGTGTGTCTATGGTGTTACTATGTGTTGAGTATTAGGGTTGGCCCAAAACACAGTGGACTCGTAAAGTATTAACAGAAAAAAAAATAAAAATTGTTATACGACATCGTCAGGTGATGCCATTTGAAATTGATAGAACTTACCTGTTGAACCCTGACATGAGACAAATGGCGAGGGCTCAAATATATTTCGATAGTGGCTTGAGGGGGGAATTATTATTTCTCAGTTGGTCTGCAAGTCGGGTTGATCGTACTGCTGGAGGCTAGATACATTGAGCATGTGCTCCAACTTCGGTGTGTTCACCTCGTGGGCGGAGGTGTCATCTATTGCAACATAGCATTTAATAAGCTCATATAATTTTCCTTTTAATACTCTCATTATACACACTTGATATATATTTATTAAGTATACCACAAAATACGTTATTAATTTCCAACAAAGAATTTAGAATGCTATACGTACTATAACGAAACCTATTACGGTAGCAACTGCATTGTCCGAAAACTTAGCTTTCCCCATGTCCGAAGAACAAAGCCTTCAGCCAGCATATAAATCGAACAAGGTTCTCACCCGTTTTTATAGCGAAATTGACAGCTTCTCCAATGGGACCTCCACCACATTTTGGTACTTTTGAGAGGTTCGGAAATGACCCCACGTAGTTTAACCACCCACAAGAGTATCATGACGAAATATGTGTACTGGTGGTTCAAGGTATCTTTAGTTGATAATATTAGTTTTCATATTCATATTCTTGTTGTATTAGATCGAGTTCTTTGTATAAGGTTGTTAGAGTTTAGCCGTTGAAGGCCATTCTAACATGATAATTTACAAAAATAATAGTTTGTTTTTTTTTAACATAAAGTAGCATCTCATCTCTTTTTCAGTTTTGTTGTTGTTGCTTAAATTTGGCAACCGCTTCATTTCAAGAAGGTCGAGCACCGTGCTGAGTAGGATGTCGATAATCGATATACCTCTTTTTTTTTACTTGAGAAAATTACCCTTTTCCGAACCTATCATAGGATTTGACTGAGGCTTACTTATTTCTGCAGAATGATTGTGTGTGCAAATGTAGATACCATGGTTTTATTTTTGTAAAAATTGTTTACCATTGTAAGCAGAAATCAGTATGCAAGTTAAAACTTTAAAGTGTGAGAATGAAATTATATTATGGCTATGATAATTTAAAGGGGCTATAGGACAAAATCCCTTTTTCAATTTTTACTTCTTGATAAATTCAATTTTTAAATTGTTATTTGTCATAAACTTAATTAATCCAAAATATTTTATATACCCTAATTAATTATTCCAATAAATTTAAAAAAAAAAAATTATGTTAATATGAGCAACTCCAATGCTAAATATCAAAATTGAATTATCAAATATTTATTTGATATTTTAGTTAATATTTTACTATTGTTTAAAATTGATCTACTCCAACAGTGGTTATCAAATTAATTATCAATTGGAAGTTTATGGGTGATTTTATTTGTAATTGCCACATGTCCACTTTTGATTTGATGTTTAGATAGTTACACTTTTGATAACTCAATTTCCAGCAAGTATTTTTACATTCCAAAAGTTGAATTATCAAAATAGAACCCTAATTTGATAACCACATTAAAGTTAAAAAAATTCTATTTTTTGGTATATAAATAGTGGTTAATGGTTTGAATACCATGATTGATAACCCCATTGGAGTTGCTCTAATATCTCCCCATATCACGTCATTTCAGTTTCTATTTTTCCTTTTCTTTTTTATTTTTTTAATAGTTTTCTTTATTTCAATTTAAAACAAAAATGGATTTATTTTATTATTTTTAAAATATTTTTTTTCGGTTTTCTATTTTAAATTATTTTTTTCTTATTTTAGTTTTCATGTTTTTCATTTTGATTTTTTTTTAATGGTTTTATTTTTATTTTCGTTTTTAATGGTTTTTTTTCTAAATTCAAATTTTTATAAATGGTTTTTTTTTTTATTTTTTTCCCAGTTTTTTTTTGAGTAAAAAATATTTTGTTTAATTATTTTTTTTATTTTGATTAATTTTTTTTTTAAATTTAAAAAAAATCCAGCAGGTTTATCAAAGTGGAATCCACTATAAACTTATCAGAGTCCGCTATAAATTTATTGAAAACCACTATAAATTTATCGATACCCACTACGAACTAGACGAAATCCAATAAATTTGTTGAAAATCACTATAAATTTATCGAAGACAAAGTCTGACATTATGAAAACCACTCTGTATAAACCGCTATATAAACATGAAAACCTCTTTGTATGAAACAACTATAAAAACATGAAAACCACTCTGTATACACAACTATATTAACATAAAATCCACTTTATATAAACAACTATATAAACATGAAAACCACTTTGCATACACAACTATACATACATCGGATTAAAAATTCGTATTAAAATCCACAACTGCTAGAGGGATCACAAAACTTGTATATGGAAATGTGGTCAGTGAGGTTTTTATGTGCCAAATATATTATTGATTAATTCCAGAAATTTTATGTGTAAGATCCAGAAAAACAACATATCCATGCAACTACACCAGTATAACCCTATAACAACACTATTTTGGGAATGGTAATTACAGTAATGTATTATTAAAATCACTAATTATCTTGTCCCGGATAATTACAGTAACGTATTATCAAAATCACTAATTTTAAATATGCAACAAACTTAGAAAATTACATATGTCCTACTTAATAAGGTCTACTGCAAAAACAATATTTACTAATCCATAAAAACCAATTTT